GTAAGAAAGTGGATACTCACATCACAAGCACATGAAGTGCAAGTGTGTGTAGTGGAGGTGGTGATATAATAAAATAGGTAGGATGTGTAAGGGGAAGTAAGGGTTGGAGGTGGGGTGGGTGGGGGGCAGGCGCGGGGGGAAAATGTAAACAGCATATTAAACACATGTTTTTTTTATCTACTGCAGCTTTTAAGGGGATTTTTGAACTGAAAGGATCATTAAAAAAAATAAAATAAAATAAAAAAAACAAGAATGGTCACGTACCGAACAAGCCTCAAATGAGACTGTTGCTAAAAATTTCTGGAAGTACGTTTTATCAAATCCAGACAGATATAATATATATACACTCGTTTACAAAAATGTGGACATTTCAGAAATATATATACCTTTTGTTTTTTCTTTTGTTTCGCCCAAAGACACAAAAGATATATATATATTTGAAATGTCAACCTTTTTGAAAACGAGTGTATATGTATATATATATATACAACACCTGTTTACATTCTTATAGCTCAGTTAATATTTTATATAATTTGTATCTCACCAAACATTGTATTTCAGCCTACATTAAAGGGTCCAGGTCTTAGAAGCAATCACAGAACCCATCAGAGTGAAATATCAAAATAACTACTTCAAACTGTAGAAGAAATTATGCAGCCAAGAAAAACAGTGTGTGAAACACCGTTATTCTCAATTCTGAATGACACGTAGCAAATGTGCAAGATTCCACGTTTCACCGTAACAACTGTCATTACCCATGTTCTCCAAGAATGAAGAATGGTTTGGAAGATGTTTCTTGTGGATTTTCAGAATTGAATTACATCTTCTCTTCCTATATACCAACCAGTATGTACTTGTCTAAACAAAAGAGGAATTATTGCAGCAATCTAGAAACACAATTTAGCTTAACTGTACCTGCTCTAAGATCCAGTTTAATTTTCTGTGGTTTTACTTGGACTCCAGCACCAAGAGCATCATTCTGCAATTACAATTTCAGAGAAATTTTCATTTTTTAAAGGTCAATCACTTAGCTTTCCACTTGTCAAAAAGAACTGAGGTTTTTACTCATATGATGGGAACCACACTGAGCTTAACTCACATATTATAGAGCAGGGTGAAAGCACCAATAACAATGCAATGTACGAATGTCATTTTTGTTTTCCAGTCATTATCCTGGTCAAATTTCAAGTCCAAAGGATTATAAGTGCAAATTTAATATTTACAAAACCACTAAATGGGAAAACATGTTTCCCCAGATACAACTCATTCAGAAATTTTTCACACACGTGATGTCATATAAACAGTTGGTTTTCCTGTACTCCACAGTTGCATTTGTTCTCTGCCTTCATAAGTCTTTTTAATTCAAAGCTGTGAGGCTTTTGCAGTGTCTAACGAAGTTAGAAGTTTCCTTTGACTTGGTAAAACCTATCAATAAATTTTTGGAATTAAGGATTCTGCCTTGTATAAAATGCACCATCTAGGGAAGAAAAATACAAAAAGAAGCTTTCTGTGGTGCCTTTTGAAAAATATGCAAACAAAAATTTTAAGTCAAATCTCATCCTCCTCCTCAAATCTAAGTCTCTATGAGCTAAAGCTTAACAACAAGTTAGTACCTGTGTGGGTGTGCTCTTGCTTGAAGGGTTCGAAAGATTTTGGCACTTTAGAGCTTGTAAGCGGTTCAATGTGTCACACCGATCACCTGGAAAATTCTGATCAGAAAGAAAACACAACATTAACCAAAAGCAGAATAGCAAGATGTACAAACTTCAGAGCAGCATTCTTTGATAAACCAGTATGAAAAGACAGGTTAACCTGGGCTGTCAAAAAGTTTTTAAGTAGCTGGCTGATAATGAAAAGTAGGCGGCTTTAGAACTCGCACCAAAGGCACAAGTTCTTGAGGGTCGAGGCAACTAGGGACATTTTGAAATTTTGAGTCACAGAAATGGCATTTCCAGGGGTTTTCAAGAGGCATTTTCCACCTTGGATGCCATGTTGTTTCGTCAGAATACACACAAGACTGGGAACAATGCCGTCAAAATGTCCCAGGTGTTCCAAGACATCGTATGGTTCACACATTTCACAGATCTAAACCTTTGAATGTGTATTCAATGTCATTCAAAACTGGGAAACAGATGCTTTACAATTTTATTTGATGGTGGAGATGAAGGATAGCTAACTAGCCAGCGATTTTGGCCAGCTACTGGCCCTTATTGACAACCCTGCTTAACCTTGCCATTGTCACTGTTGCTAGGCACAACAGAAGATTCAGATCAATTATTAGAAAGTGTTGAGGAAATGTATTTCAAAACGAGAGATCGAGGAAGAAGATAAAGAGGATGATTATTCAGACTGTAACAGCAGTTCTGATGACAAAGGCAATGACGCTGATCAAGATGAAGCTATTGAGAACATGGAAATATACAAAACGGAATGTTCCAAATCGAGGGAAAATCAACTTTGGTTTGAGTTAGCGCAGGTTCAAGTCATTGGGAGTCACCTGTATTTCGCTGAAGTATAGTCAGGAGCGATTTGGTTAGCAGTTGAAATTTGATTCCTTTCCCCCTGGATCTTAACATTCAGCCCCCAACGGAATGATTGAAGCATGATTAAAGCAGAAAGCCTTCGGCTTTCAACAGATACTGTACAGCAGGAAAAAGGTAAATCCCCTCAAAAATACACAATTAATTTATCACAAAGTACAATTCAAATCACTACTGTTACCTCATCAGAACACCATGAACAGGTTGCTGTTCCTATACATGTATTACACTTTGTTAAACTTCCACAGCTAGCTACTCCTGTAAATGTACAAAGACAGTTGGTGTATTAACTACAGTCTTGTCAGACCTCTTATATGCATTAGTAATAAAAAATCTTAATATTCAGGGACCAAGTAATCCCTGAAGATCAACAGTAGCTTGTATGTTTTGTTTTCCCACCACACGCCACCTGATAATAGTTTAGAGAACTGTGTCTTTCAAATTTAGTCTTATACCCTTGCATATATACATATAATTTATAAGACAAAGGAGCAAATTCCTCTCAGACACTCATTGGGAAAATAAAACATACAAACCAAAGAGTTTTATTGGTTAAACTTCAAAAATGTGACTTTCCCTCTTAATCAATCAATCAACACTTTTACTGGAGCTTTCTATGTGGTATGAGGAGAGTGCAAACTGACCACCGAAACAACTTAACCCACATTTATTAGTTATCACTTATCCAAGTTATTTCCAGGAAACTAATTTATAATAACCAATTCTATGGGGAGGGGGGTCCTTAACCAATTACATATTTTGTTAAGAAAATTAGCTAGAACAATAGATCTACTTAAACAGGTTAGTAGTTTTTAAACCATCTTGTGGGGTAGTTCGATCAACCCAGCTTAAGGATATTAATCAGTCAATCAATCATCTCACTTATTTAAATCAGGAGAAGCTCTACTACACATGCAAGCACTACATTTTTCAACAATTACTTTTTTCAAGTTGCACCAAGCCCAGGGCCCAGTTGCTCGAAGCATGGTTAGCGTTAACCAGCATTTAATACCTTCACAACGTATTGGTTTTGATACTGCTTAACCAATGGTTAAAGCTAACCATGCTTGGAGCAACTCAGCCCAGGAGGGGTTACTTCCAAAAATTTCGGGTAGGAGTATGCCACTCTGGGTCTTAAACCCTGACCCTATCTAAGGATGAGACAAACAAAAACTGATATCCTGTGAGACCCACTTTAAGGAAAATACAAAAACTAAGAATTTAACAGAAACACACAAGTGTCCAATAAATTGCTTTCCTAATACTCAACAGCACTTCAGTTTTAACAGATGATTTGTCTCTTTTGTAGCTGGGCATTCAGGCACTTGAAAGGGCACTGAGTTACCCTATCTAAGGATCAAACCAGGATACAAGGCCGAAAATGACACCCTATTTAAGGATGGAGGCCCTCAAAACCCTGTCCTATCAGGTGGCACAAACCTATCTAGTCCATGTATGGGAGTGTACCTCCCTGGGTATCCAAGTTTAAAAGTGAAAACAATGTAAACATGCAAGTTAGTTTTCAGATTTGGATTCAGCTCATCACAATAACTTTTCATTATAATGTTCAGATAGAAGCATGTTTTGTTCTACTCACATTCATAACAGAGATTTTAAAGATGTTTTCTTCTTAAATAACCACCAATGAATTGTGGTTGTTTTGCCCAAAACTCAATTTGCCCAAGATTATTTTACCCAGAAGTAAGTTGATTAGCCTGCTGAGAAACAACATTCCACAACACGGCTTTATCGGAAATGTGTTTTAGTTAAGCTTGGATTCTGTTGCTGCAATTGCTAAAAAAGGTCCAGTGATCTGAATGGTAAACCATCTGAATGATCTGAGTGATCTCAATAATCACATTCCAGATACTAAAAGACATAATACTGAATTATCCTAGCGATCTCAATGCTCGTAACATTGATTTTTGATATGTTTTGTGTGAAGTTTCTACCGGAAAAAGTTGTTGATCCATGAGTGCAGTAACTGTTTTTCATGTTTATTCCTTTTTTCAGGCTTAAAGAATGACAAATAAACATCGGGTGAATCAACTTATGGGCGAAACAACCTGTTACCCCACTAACAGGGATGTCAACCCCCCATGTTATCAAACATTGAGAATTGATAAGGAAGGAATGATAGATAATGTCATATCGCATGACAAATGACGTCATTTTTGCCAAAAATGTTCGTTGATTCCGATCAACGTATATAGCACATTAACAGTTCATATTTAGCCACATTATTGCTTAAATTACGGTGGCATACCAGAATTTATGAGGAAACGTTCCATGTTAACAGTAGCACCAACAACGCAAACTATTTGAAATTTTACAGTGGGAAAGTCGAATCCACAGCAATAGCAACTTTGGTGATTATCCAGGAGATATCAGACTCTAATCTGGAGACCAGAAGATACAGTCCAAAATCTGGAGTCTCCGGGATTATCCGGGAGAGTTGACAGCACTGCACTCATGACCGTAACAGGTTTTCTTAAAGTATAAAAAATATTTTAAAAAGACAAGTAGATCAACGATCAACTCACCTTGACTATTACAATACCCAAGGAAGGCAAAAATGAGCAGCAAACAATAAAAGAGAACTCGCCGTTCCATTTCAATTTCCTGACTGAAAAAACAAACAAACCTAAGACCTGATTCAAATGTAGTTACTACTGCCATGCTGAACTCAATTATATATCAAATTGAATTTGAATTTAGCACAGAAAAAGAACAATATTTGAAACCAAATTGTGCCACTGCTGTGTAGCCCCAGGGGGGGGTACTCGGAATTTCAAGTGACGGGAATGATCGAAGGATTTTTTTGGGTAGCTTTATTTGAGTAGGGATTTTTTGGGGGTATTAAAAAGAATCGGTAGTGCCCTGGCTGCGTAGTTCTGCGAATAAAGTACAAACAAACGTGTTTCATAACGTTACTGTTTAAACAAAACAGTTCTTGGGTGTCTCTAGCACCCGCTCTAACTTGTTAAAATGACTGCCAGATGAGGGAAAGGATATATTCAGATGGTATGATGAATAAACAAACACGAGTGTTCAATTTCCAATGTTTTTCTTTGTGTTATAGCATTACCCCTTTCTGCAACTTTTAAGGGCCACAAAATCGGCATGGGATTTTTTGGGGGTTAATTTTTGGTCCAGGGATTTTTTGGGGTCTTGACTCTTGGCTCCATTCAATCATCCCCGTCACTTGAAATCCAGAGTACCCCCCCCCCCCCCCCCCGTTGGGGGGTGGAAAACTTTTTTTTATTAAAAAAAATTTTGTTTTTTTTGTGTGGTGCACCAATTTTAACATTTAAAAAAAAAAAAAAAAAAATTTTAAATTGTTTTAAAACCCTTTTTTTTTTTTTTTTTTTTTTTTTTTGTTGTATTTGTATTAGTTTTTTTTTTTTTTTGTTTTCCCCCCCCCCCCCCTGGTGTGTAGCATGGCAAGCTTTGTTGTACTAAACAAATGTTGTGCTACTGTGGTGCTGAACTCAATTCATAACTTACAAATACATAAGAATACATTTTCAGAGTTCATTAAACCACTTTTTCTTTTTTTAGTTTTATTTGCTGCAATGATTTGTAATAGCTATTTTTTTGACTGAGTTTAAATTTGAAATTTGAAACCAAGTCGTGCTACAGTCATGCTAGAGTTGTTCTGAAGTCGAGTCAGACCAACAGTGGCGCTAGCACGTCGTTTGAAACAGCTCCTAGTATCGAAACACTAAAAGCAAGCTTGAATAATGCTAACATATCATCACAGGATTCTAATAAAATAAACAACCTCAACGTCTTTCAAGTGTAACAACTATTAAAAGTTTGAGTTAAAGACAATAAAGGAAAGCTTTATTTACAGTATTTTTTTTCTTAGCATTAGCTGTTCTAGCTACTCTTGAATTTCAGGAAAATAATGTTTATTTACATAATGTATGTAAAATGAATGTATTCTAGCACAGGATCGAGCATGATAAGACGGAGATAAGCGATTTAGCACTTTCTTGTTTATGATATACTGCCTTCAGCTACTATTGTTAAGAGAGTTAACGATGAAATCAGTTGACACTGTTGACTCTAGAACTTGGTTTGAGACCCATGTCATCGATAAAAGCAGAATTTTCTCAAATGGGCATGTCTTCTAAAACTTGTAAAGGAACAGTCGCTAAATTGCGGTACATCTTATTTGCACGCTGATATTTCCTTACCATTATATCAAAACCAACACTTTCTTTCATGTTAAGAATAGGAAAAGTTTAATGATCTGCCTTACCTAGAATGTTATTGTCACTTCCCAGAAGAAACTTTGTATTTTCAGGGTAGTATGAAGATACGAATTGTCAAGAAATGAGAATCTCTTCTGCCTCTTTGGAACGGAGGAAGTGGCATTCAAATTCTTCACACCAAATTTGGGCATACTTACCATATTTAGGATGCGAGGTGTGCTGGTATTTGTTCGGATGCGCGTGTTGGCTCATTTGGGTGGAGTAGGCATTTTTATTTTTGCACTTCCTGCTCAGTGACATTTTTCCGGTAATCATTAATAACTCTTACGCAGCCGTTCTTTAGCCTGGTCACCACTGTGTAAAAATGTATATTGACATATATTTTTTCAAATAGCTAGGAGCTAACACGAACACTTGTACGCTCCTGCTCCTGTACATGTTAGTCTCATCATTAAAATATAAATTTCTGAAGTATGGAATGTAAATATTAAAAGGTTATTGATGCAACGATCAAGCCACTTCCTTTTCTTCCAAAAGCGACAATTACGTACAATTATCACCATTGTAATAATAGAGAGATTTTTAGAGTCCTTTTACGGCAGAAGGCAAACGTCTTTTTGTACCACCTAACCAAATTTAGTGCTGATTATACCTGCACTAAAATTAAAAATTTCATTGATGCCAGGATCATCCGGTAAGAATGATGTTGAACAGTTTTTCATCCTGTCAGTTCTAAATTTGAGAAATTGCCAATTTGA